ACTTACAATATGATTATATTGAAAACATGGTCGTGAACATGACCTAGAACATGACTGCGTTGAGAACATGGGCAGGAACAACACCGCCGTCTTCAGAAGTGCAGGGTAATCAACACGGCCATGTTGGTTGCCTGGGACGCCTAGTCATCTACTGAGTCATCCAACATGGTTCAGTTCCAATCAACCATTTTGGAACTAAAATTGATAAATTTTTATTTGAGTGGACCAAAATTGATAATATTTTTTTGAATGAGACGAAAATTAATAATTATTATATTGAATGAGATTAAAAATAATTTTTACTTAGAAAAAAATGAAAGTGGAGGCACGAAGAGTATAATAAAAAAAGAAAAAGAAAGAAAAGGAAAAATGAAAGAAAGATGAAGTAGAAGCATAAAGGAAAGAAAATAGAGGCGGAGGCGTGGAGAGTATAGAGAAAAAAAAAGAAAAGAAAAGAGAACATGGAAGAAAGATGAGGAAGTCGAAGCATAAGAGAATTAAAATAGAGGAGGCGTGGAACAACACCAACTAAGGTTAGGGAGGCATAACTGCCAACTGGATATGTGTGTGTACAATAATTTAGGAACAATAAGTAGATTTTATGGAATTTTTATAAAAAATTTTCAAAAAATTCGAAAAATTAGAGAGGTTTTTTTTTGGTATTTTGCCTATATCTTATTATCTTATACAAAATCAAAATAATTTAAAATAAAATATTAATTTTTATATCGTATAATTTATTATACTTCATAAAAAAAATACTTCAAATTATGATAGTTAGAAATAGCATACAATTAATATTCATATTATCTACCATATTTGTTTAATTTTGATCGAATTCCATCTAATTTGTGTGTATATTATTTATTTATAATATGCAAGACATACATATCAAAATTGAAGAAATTATAAAAAGATTGAAGAAATAATCGGCCTTGAACTATCTAGTTAGTCATGACTAGTCTACCTTTACGATAGGAAAATTAATAAAAGGCCGAAAAATTCAATTGTTACAAAAAAGAAGGGCAAAAAAAAAAAATCAAAATTTATGATAATTACAGTGTATATATATATAGATTAATGATCTCGATATTATTTGAACTTTTGAAGAACTCTTAGAGCATCTCTTACCGTCACATCTCCTGTTACTTTTATCATTACTTTTTCAATTTTTATTATAATAACCAGTTATTTTTCTTGTTACGTTTAAGAAGAGATACAATTATTCACAATTTATTACCTTTCTCAAGAACTGATTACATTCAACATAAATAAAAGATATAATTAAATATTATTCAAAAAAATTTTAAAATTTTAAAATTAACATAAATTATCTAATATATATCAATTTATTCAAATAATTTCAATTTTAAAATAATAAATTATATGTTTCAATATATTAAAATTTATATAGATTAAAATTTTAAAATTTAATATAAAATTATATAAAAATATTATTAGACAATAAAAAATATATATAAATAAATAAACAATATATATTATGCAATACAAATATATTGAAATAAATAAATTAGTGTGGATCCTATAAAATAGTAAAGATAATGTCTTGAAGGTGATTTTTATAACGTGTGATAAATAAAGTAATTTAAATGTTGAGTTGGATATGACGTGAATGAGAGAGATAAAAGAGATAACGAAGTAGAGGTATTAGTAACAGATGCTCTTATAGAATGTAGAATATTTTTTTTGTAAAAAAGTTGAGATCAAAGACTTTAAAAAAACAAGATTTTACTTGGGTTTTAAGATTGAATACATGGATAATATAATATTAATCCATCAAACCATTTATATGTAAAAGATATTAAAGATATTTTATATAAATAAAACACATTCAATTTTCATTGAGTACTTTGAGCCTAACAAAAATTCATCTAGACCAAAATGAGAAGATAAAAAGAGAAAATGATACTGAAATATCATATCTCAGTCCAACATGTGTATTCATATAATGAACAAATTGCAAAAAGACAAACATTTAATTTATTGTAAATTTATTGAACAAATTTAGTTCATCTGCTACAAAACAACATTGTACTGTGGTTAAACATGTTTTGCACTATTTTCAAGAGACAAGTGATATTGATTTATTTTATCTGAATAATTTTTGACGCAAACTACTAAACTATGCCGATGATGGATATTTATCTGACCCGCATAAAGAAAAATTCCAAATCGATTATATATTTATATATGGTGATATTGTGATCTTCTTGAGATCCACAAAATAGACAATAAGTGTCAGATTACCAAATCATACGGACGTATCTGACTATTCATGAAGTCAATCGAAAATATATTTGATTGAGATCAATAACCTATCATTTAAAAAACAGAATTTTGGTTTCATGTTTTAAAATAAAAATTTCTCAACAATCATATATGAAGATGATAACCAAGCGATATTAGGGATTTTTATGATGGATTGGACCTTGACATATAAAAAATGGTAAGATATTGAATTTAAAAAAATGATGTTGTAGACTTTAAATATTGTACCATAATTACTTTTATACTCTTTAAACGGGTAACTTTTCAAGTTAAACGCAAAAACTTTAAGTAATGAAATTAAATCAGCAAAATACTGAAATGAGTCTGGTTAAATCAAAAAAATAATAAAGTGACTTGACTAGAGGGCATTGGCACAACTCAAGCGTTGCTATCGTAGTTGGTCGATATCTAAATGATTTGACGATTGAGAGATCGATATTTAGATAAATTCTTAACAGCCTCATGATCTCGTTGATCATCGGTGGACTGCTAGCTCGGATATAAGCAAAAAGAGCATCATTTGCCACAGTTGGGTGCATCATTGGTCTTTTATACTTAATCAATTTCTGAGTCGGACCGTTGCTTAATAAACTAAAAATACCAATAATATAAAAAAAATATATATTGGATTATACCAAGCGAAATAGATCAACAAAGTATGCCATAAATCATATATTGCGATAATTTTCACATAAAAATTCAACAATTATACATTTTTATCAAGCATAAATATACTATTATTTGGAATTATCAGAAGACAATGCAGTTTGTATTGCTTAATTAAATAGTGAATATATCAAATGAGATAGAACAACCTATATCTTACTAAAATTCTCCTTACTCGTGACTTTTAAAAGAATGATGAAGTTGATCTGCAACAAATTTGATTATATAAAATTTCTCAAATTTATTTGTTAAGGTTCAACGGATAACATTCAAAAATTTATTAAAGAAATTAGAATACATCAACTTTAAAGATTTTAAGTAAAATCGAAATTAAATAAGCAAATTAATACAATAATACTATATAATTTTTTTTCATTGTGATTTTTTTTTTTATAATCTTTTTTCTATTTTATTTTTAACTGGATACCTTTTTTTTAAAAAAAAAGAAAAAAAAGAAGAGTGTGTTGGACCTTACCTATTAATTATATAGAAGCAATGTATCAACAATTAAAAATATAGTAGTAAAATTAATTATAGTATAAATAATTAATTACAAATTAAATCTAAAACTAAAAATTTAATTAATTTAAATAAAATTTTTAAAAAATTATAAATTATAAAATTTAAAATATAACTTTTTCAAAAAAAAAATATATATATAAAATGCAAAACAAACGTAAATAAAATAGTAATATAATATATGGAATAAAAAGAGTAATACTCCATATTATATACACCCGCCACTCACACACACATGTACATGTAATATAATATTAATAGATACATATGCATGTAATACTTCTTTCATCAAAAGTATTTTTTTATCATTTTCGTCCGTCTCACCAAAGTATCTATTTTTAGTAAAATTAATCATACACAAATATCAAAAGACCCTTAAATTTTAGCTAAATAACAAACATAACATTACATATACAATTGCTTTTTAGATAAATTGATAAAACAAAAATATTAAATTTCTTACACACTCCTACTAATTCACAAAATAATACTCCCTCCGTCCCAATACAATAGTTTTGTTTACTATTTTTGTTCATCCCAAAACAATAGTCTTATTTCCATAAATAATCATATCACTATAAAACTACCTTTGCTCTTTCATTATTATTATACAATTGCCACTACTTTTTATACTAATACACTTACAAGGACAAAAAAATCTTTTACCCGTACTTTTTACCCAGTATCAATATAATATCAATATTCCCTAAATTATGTGTCAAACACAACCCATACTATATAGTATATAGTTTTAGAACGGAGGAAATATATTTTTTAATTTATTACAAAATTTCAAATGGCCTCTCACAAGACATGCTAGTAATTTAACCAACTTAAGCAAATTCATGTTCCTATTTGCCTTTTCTTTTCTTATTTATAATAATAAAATTATGATGTGCTGGATATTTTAAAATTAACTATGATAACTATGTTTGAAAATATAAATATGAAAGTCGTTGTAGTATAGTGGTGAGTATCCCCGCCTGTCACGCGGGAGACCCGGGTTCGATCCCCGGCAACGGCGAATGCATTTTGGTTTCTTTCTTCAATACAGTCATGTCTAGGGCTACGCTGCATTTTCTATATAAATATATTGGGCAAGAAGAAGGCGGCGTGAAGAAGGCGGCGTGGTGGTGCTGTGCGTTTGGAAGGAGAAGGGTTTTTAAAGTTTGATTTACTAATTATTATAAATATATTGATATAAATAAAATTTTAAATACTTTTAAAATTGATTTTTATTCAAATTATATATTTGATTAGGTGTGTTTCTTTGGATTTAATCTGAAAAATTTTAGTTTATATTTAATACTAAAATAATATTTGATAAAATATTTTGTTAAAAAAAAAATTTAAAATAAAAAATTCAAATAATAAAATTTAAAAAATTCATATCAATTAATATTACTTATAAATTTATTGTTTAGATTTATTTTTTTTTAATATGAATTTTATACTCATAAATTATTAATATATTTTCAATTTATATTAATAATTTATATTTGACCTATAGACTTAGACCCTTTAGGTTAAGTCCCGCCACAACCATCCACAAGTGAACTCTGCACCTCATATTTCTGTTGCTGTAGGGTACATAACATTGTCAATCATTCATTGCTCACAATCTCCATGGCCAGACAGACCATGATGAATCCAAATTCAAACGATCCATCTACATCTACTAGCCTGCAGTAGGGAAATGCAGCAGCAAATCCTGTATTAGGGTGTAACCTTGTTTAGTCTCCTCTTTTGTCTTGTTTTGTATCTTTTGAAGCTCCTCTCCTTCCCCTGGGGATCTTGCTCAACACTTTAGCATCAAATTCCGCATATTGTTCCATTGCCTTCTCAACAAAACAGTCCACTTGGTACTCGTACTTGTCATAAGCTAGAGGCAATGCTAAAGCCAGTAGGGTAGCTGCTTTTCAGAAAATAACAGAAACTCGTGGGTAAGTGATATATATAACAAAATTATTGAAAAAATAACATAAAAGAGATGCCGTATGCAAACAAAACACCATCTCCCAAGTTGACATTACTTGCATACATAAGCGTCACAAAGTCACACCAACTTCCCACTATGGAGATAACCCACAAACCCGCGATCAGCTGCAGATATAGGAGGCCAAATTAAAATTATTATAGTGTTTCGAGTATTGATACAGAGTTAAATGCAACTGTGGGAGACGATCATGTTGAAACAACTAACTCAAGCCAAATGTAGTAGATAATATTTGATACTAGGGGTAATATTCCACTAATTAATCCAAACAAACTTCAGGCGCCAGTCCATAGGACAAGAGAGAATGGCAATAAGGAACTGAAACAATTGCAATTTCCTGTGTTTAGTCCAATGGTATTATAATCATATTTTCTGAATCATTCAGAGACACATTAAGAAATTTGCAAAACCTTACTTTCATTGTGGTTGTGATTGTGCATTGTGTTTGGGATTCCCGACTGCAAACTATAAGCCTACTCAGAAATATCAAGAGGGATAGCCATTGGAATCAATTGATTTCGTTTTCTTGATATGGGGATTCATGTTAAGGCATTACAAAAGAGCAACAGCAAGTCAGCAGCACATCAGTCAAAACCATCCCTCCCTTCATCAAGACATATCTCACTTTAACTTGATGCAAATAAAACTGCATACCGAGAAAAGCTTCTTCGCATCCCTTCCTGAAACAATATCCCTCAAAACTGAAAATGCATGATTTATTTGAATCCTCACAGCAGAGGCAACCTTCAATACAGGATCTTCTGGAATGTGAACATTGGGAATCCGTGGACCAGATCTATCAAGCAACAAAAACGGTGGAGAACAACTATTTGATTAAAAAAATAGAATAACTGAAACGAATTCAAACAAGACCATAGAGCAGCTCACTTTTTAATGAAGCTATTGGCATGTGACCACAGAAACACAATTGCCAGTCCAAGGATTAAACCATGACAGATGACGGTGAACATGTGACATTCAAGGATATCTAGTAAAAACCAGATAGCTGTAGCCACAACTAGCACTCCTCCTGACAGCTTCTTGTCCCTCCACAACAACACATCAGCAGCTGATCATTCAGAACAGTGCAAAATATAACAAATATATACCCAATACAGGTGCCTGTGCTTTTCTTGCTTGAAAGATCCGATCATTAGTTCCTAACCCTTTTCCACTTTCAATGTTCAAGCAGCCAGAAATATTTTCCACAAATTCCTCAAGTATTAACTAAAATATAGTACATTGACACATATTGAATCCAACCCTTATCATCATGCAACCAAATGTTCAATGTTAAATCTACAGTAGTAGTGGTCTGATGCATGTGTTCCATGTGGATAGTAAGTACCAGAGATACACGCATAGAAATATACAGATAAAATGAAAAGAACAATTAACATAATTCGTATCTTTCAGATAAAAAATACAAAATATCACCGGCAGAATAATCGATAGATTTAACTACTAAAAAGCGTAATAATTTTCTCGGTTTGCATAATGAACAGCACACGTCCTAGGAGATATTAAACAGCGGGAAAAGGACAGCGTTTTCTTGACACATTCTCTAGACCAACATCATTTACCGAGCAGAGGCAAATTAAAATGAAATTTTAGTTCCTTCTGAAAGTCGATAGAAAATTCCTACTCTCAAGCACAGAAAATAACCATACAAAGGACTGACCATTTCATCAAGGATCACAAATAAATCTCACACGAATGTATAATCGAAAGTTGTTGGTTACGTAATTGCAAAACAGAAGTTTGAAATATAATAAGAATAACAATCAACAACGTATAATAAGAGATGTCTTGTTCGACATACGTTTTCCACCTCCGAGGACGCCATGAAGAGGCTTCTCCCTGCCGAAGAGACTGTAGACTTTGGCCTTAATGGAATACTTCCTCTCACAGTCGGAATCGGACGAAGAAGGGGAATCATCGGCATGAATTTTGTCGGCAATCTTTTGAAGCAAAGGTTCGCCTTTTTTCTCCTCCTCCTCCTTCTGCTCCACGTCCCTCTCCCGCTCCTTGTGATGATCCGCCATTGCAAACAGAGAATTGAAGCTAAAGACTGATTTTGTTATGGGTTGGGGAGAGTGGAACGAGGACAGACAGGACACTCACACTGAGTGGGTGAAAGATTGAAACGGAAACCACACTGGCCGAGTTCATTTTTTTTTAATATTGTAGTGTATATAAATGCGACACTTTTTTTATTTTAAAAATTTTAAATTTATACATAATTTATTATAATAAATAATTTTATTTATTTATAATTTTATAAATTTCATTTTAACAAATAATAAATACTACTTTATTATTATTTTTATTTATCATTGTTATTTTAAAATTAATTTTGAAAATTATTCAATTTCCTAAACCCTAAACTATCTGTCAAATTTTTAGCCACCGAAAACCCTAACCCTCACTTCACCACAGTTGTTCCATCGCTTAAACATTTTCTCATATCAATCCGTTGATCTAGTTTTTTATAGGCCACCTCACTACCACCATCGTTTTCATCAGCTCAAAAAAACCTCCAACTTGCTTACTCGCACCACGGTATCGCCGCAGAAGAAGCTGGAAATACCCCCATCAAAATCCGTCAAAAACTGCATCATCGAAAAACTACATCTCTGGCGGTTTCTCTTTCGATTAAGAGGACACTTCTTTCGATATTTATACATTTGTTGATCAAAAGTATCCTTTGACAGGATGCAGGTGGTCTCTCGACTTTCCATTTCAGGTAGCAGGCTTCACCCTCTTACTTGTTTTTTGTTATTCTCAGTGTTGATATTATTGAGACTTGATAGACCTAGTACTGCTTGGTTGGTGTTGATGCCTTAGGCATATTGCCTTTGGCCTTTGATACTTACATTACATTGGTTTGTCTGGTCTGTTTTGTTTGACTTGAACTGTATAGCCTGTATTAGCAGAACTACGTATGGCTTGATCCCGTTTGGGTACGTAGGCAACCCACTTTGGGTGCAGCCATTATTATTTAGTTTTTACCAAAAAACCCTAAACCCTAAACCATCCACCGATTTCCCAGCCACTGGAAACACTAACCCTGACATCACTATTATTGTTCCACCGCTTCAACATTTTTCGATCAACACCGCCATTAATCTATCCGTTGATCAAGCCATTTTCCGGTCACCGCACTCCGCCATCATTTTCATCAGCCCCAAAAACCCCAACTTGCTTACTAGCACCGCGTTATCGCTGCAGAAGGAGCTGGAAGTACCCCCCGATCAAAATCAGTCAAAAACTATATCGCCAGAAAATAGCCCCTCTGGCAGTTTCTCTTTCGATTGAGCGGACATTTATCCTGACAGATATCCCTTCGTCGATCAAAAGTCTCATTCGAGCGGATGCAGATGGTCTCCCGACTTTCCATTTCATGTAGCAAACTACAACCTTTTGTTTTTTGTGACACTTAATGTTGATATTACTTAGACTTGATAGACTAAGTATTGTGTGGTTCGTGTTGATAGCTTAGGCATGTTGCCTTTGGCCTTTGATACTTAGACTACCTTGGTTTGTCTGGTCTTTTTTTTTTAGTTTGATTGTATAGCATGTATCAACAAAACTATGTATGACTTGATCCCGTTTGGGTACGTAGGCAGCTCACTTTGTGTGCAGCCATTGCTATACAGTTTTTACCAAAAAAAACCCTAAACCGTAAACCATCTGCCGATTTTTCAGCCACCGGAAACCCTAACCCTCACTTCACCACAGTTGTTCCACTGCTTAAACATTTTTCGATCAACACCGCCATCAATCAATCCGTTGATACAACCATTTTTCGGCCACCGCATTACCACCATCATTTTCATCACCCCAAAAAACCCCCCAACTTGCTTACTTGCACCACAGTATCTCCGCAGAAGGAGCTGGAAATACCCCCGATCAAACTCCGTTAAAAATTGCATCGTAAAAAAACTGCATCTCTGGCGGTTTCTCTTTCGATTAAGAGGACACTTCTTCCGACATATATCCCTTTGTTGATCAAAAGTCTCCTTCGACATGATGCATATGGTCTCTCGACTTTCCATTTCAGGTAGCAGGCTTCACCATCTTACTTGTTTTTTGTGATACTCAATGTTGATATTATTGAGACTTGATAGGCCTAGTACTGCTTGGTTGGTGTTGATGCCTTAGGCATATTGCCTTTGGCCTTTGATACTTAGTGGTTTAGGGTTTAGGGTTTAGGGTTTTTTTTTTTTTTTTGGCTGGGCTCCAAGAGCTGCCTACGTACCCAAACGGGATCAAGCCATACGTAGTTCTGCAAAGTTCGGTACAAGTGCTGGAAAGTAAAATAGAATTATAAAGTAAAGCTAACGGAAGCGAAAGCACGGGAGGCCCGCCGCGTCAGCATGGATGAGGCCACGAGTCCTCGCAGGGATGTCCGCCGGCTCAAGGATCCGCATGTGAGGAAGGGCAACGGAGGTGTTCGCCAAGTTGTCCGCCACTTTATTGCCCTCGCGGAAAATATGAGAGATCCTCCACTCGATGCTGCGAAGCTGTAGGCGCAGGTGGTGGAGACAAGGCTAGAGAGTCCAGTGTCCCGTCGAGGAGGAGATGAGAGAGATACTGCTGGCCGAGTCCGTCTCGATCCAGAGAGGGAGGAGGCCGCGTGCAACCGCCAGGTCCACTCCAGATCGAATCGCTTGCAGTTCGGCCAAAGTGTTCGTCGTATTCAAAAGGGGAACTTGGAATGCCACAAGTGGGGCGCCGGTGGCATCCCGAATGACGCCCGCGGCTCCAGCGGCGCCTGGATTCCGGAGCGATGCCCCATCAGTATTGAGTTTAAACCAGCCTGGAGACGGGGCTTCCCAACGCACCATGACCGGCGGCCGAAGAACCGGAGGCGGGAGGCGAAGGCCGAGAGTAGAGGCTAAGTGCACCTCCCCAGGCCAGTGCTGACGCTGAAGGAGGCCAGCACGGCCCAACACCTGCAAGTCAGAGAGAATACGCCAAATAATCCGGTCAGATGAAATCTGGATACCTCGGTGTTTGGCGTCATTCCGTGCCGTCCAGAGAAACCAGAAGGCTAGAAGTGGGATATAAGTGCGGATACTCCGGCCATGAGGGGTTTAGGGTTTAGGGTTTAGGGTTTAGGGTTTAGGGTTTAGGGTTTAGGGTTTAGGGTTTAGGGTTTAGGGTTTAGGGTTTAGGGTTTAGGGTTTAGGGTTTAGGGTTTAGGGTTTAGGGTTTTTTTTTTTTTTTTTTTTTTTTTTGGCTGGGCTCAAAGAGCTGCCTACGTACCCCAACGGGATCAAGCCATACGTAGTTCTGCAAAGTTCGGTACAAGTGCTGTAAATGTAAATAAAGATTGTAAGCAACTAAAAGCTAACGGAAGCGAAAGCACGGGAGGCCCGCCGCGTCAGCATGGATGAGGCCACGGGTCCTCGCTGGGATGTCCGCCGGCTCAAGGATCCGTATATGAGGAAGGGCAACAGAGGTGTTCGCCAAGTTGTCCGCCACTTTATTGCCCTCGCGGAAAATATGGGAGATCCTCCACTCGATGCTGCGAAGCTGTAGGCGCAGGTGGTGGAGACAAGGCTGGAGAGTCCAGTGTCCCGTCGAGGAGGAGATGAGAGAGATACTGCTGGCCGAGTCCGTCTCGATCCAGAGAGGGAGGAGGCCGCGGGCAACCGCCAGGTCCACTCCATATCGAATCGCCTGCAGTTCGGCCAAAGTGTTCGTCGTATTCAAAAGGGGAACTTGGAATGCCACAATTGGGGCGCCGGTGGCATCCCGAATGACGCCCGCGGCTCCAGCAGCGCCTGGATTCCCGAGCGATGCCCCATCAGTGTTGAGTTTGAACCAGCCTGGAGACGGGGCTTCCCAGCGTACCATGACCGGCGGCCGAAGAACCGGAGGTGGGAGGCGAAGACCGAGACGAGAGGCAAGGTGCACCTCCCCAGGCCAGTGCTGACGCTGAAGAAGGCCAGCACGGCCTAAGACCTGCAAATGACAGTGAATACGCCAAATAATCCGGTCAGATGAAATCTGGATACCTCGGTGTTTGGCGTCATTCCTTGCCGTCCAAAGAAACCAGAAGGCCAGGAGCGGTATATAAGTACGGATACTCCGCGCATGTGGGGAGGACAGACGCCAAGCGGAAACCATCAGGTGGGGCGCATGTGTCCGCGGGATTTGGATATGAAACAGATCAACAAGATGGCGCCACACGCGCTGGGCAACCGCCGACGAGAAGAATAAGTGCTCGATCGTCTCAGACTCCCGACAGCACTGGCAGCAAGAGACAATAGGGAGGCCCATCTTCCGTAAGGCCTCATCGACGGGTATCCGACGGCGAAATAAACGCCATAGGAAAACCGACATTGTAGGAGTAAGAAGCGGCGACCACAAGCTGCAAGAGAGCCAGCTCCGTGCTCCAGCAGTTCGGCTCATCTCCCATGCTGAGGATGTAGAGAAAGCACCTGTAGTCGAGGCCTTCCAGATCGGCTGATCCGCAATCTGGAGATCAGAAGGGATCGCCGAGACCTGCTGAACAAGGGTTTCAGGGAGATAAGCTCGGAGGCGCGGCAATTCCCACGTCCCGTTAACCCACATCTCTTTCACCCGTATCGGCGGAGGGCGGTCCTGGCGGTCAGCGCAGAGCGGACGATCTCCACACCAATTGTCATACCAGAAGAAGCAGTCCCCACGTCCCAAATTCCAAGTGATCTGAGTCTGTGCCTCGTCTCGAACCTGGCAGAGGCGCTTCCAAACCGGGCTGTCGTAGCTCCTGCAGGGTGCAAATCCTGGAAATGAATTCCGAAAATATTTCTGTTGAAGCGCGCGAGCCCAAAGGGAGGAGCCATCTCTGAGTCGCCACCACAGTTTAAACGAGAAGGCCCGAACCGTATCGGCCAGACGTCGAATGCCAAGTCCACCTTCTTCCTGTGGCCGTGCAATATCCGCCCAGGAGATCCAATGGCGGCGTCGGTGCCCGTGATAAGAACCCCAGAAAAAACGAGCAAAAAGTTGCTCCACAGAGTGAAGTACCGCCTGGGGGGGGCAAAGTACCTGCAGCAGATATAGGGGGAGCGAGAACAAAGTGCTCCTGATTAACTGTAATCGACCCCCGTGAGATAGAACCGAGCGATCCCAGCGCTGCAGATAACGACGGAGTTTTCCAAGGAGTTCCTC